TAGCTTTTGTTTGAATAAAAAAATTCCCCCCTTAACCCATTCCCCATTTGCACTGAGAGTGCTCTCTGTTGGCACTTGCAGCTTCAGCATTTACCCTGAGATAACACACCAGGTTTTGGTATAAGAAATTCTTTTACCACCTTTTAAACATTACTCTGCTCACATGATCAGTCATGCAAACTTCAGAGTGACATTGATAGAAAGAATGCTGGAAAAGCATCACAAGCAAGGGCAGCAACCTCTTCAAGACCCTCCATGCTGTGATGATGTCACACCACATTGCCTATCTAGATGACATTTCCCCAAGAGCATACCACCAACGTCAGGGAAACAGAATTGGCTGGTTGCTGTATCATTTGCTGCTCACACAATGACAAGGATGACAAGAAGATTCAGAAAGAAATGCAGTATATTTTTGTGGAATGTGATGTTCCACTTTGTGTTGTTCTATGGTTTGAAATTTACCACACAGAAAAACTATTAAATACTGATCTTTACATACACTTTTGTTACATTAGGAGTAGAGACAAGTTCTGTTTGGAGACAACTCCGAGGAAAGTTTTTATATTTTATTTTCACATTCAAAAGCTTTGCTTCAGCCTCAAAGAGAGTGTTTATGTAAAATTAAATAAATGCTGGCAGTGAGCTGCACTTTTTTTTGTCTAATGGGAAAAGATTTAAGAAGGTGTGTATTACGTATGCTGTTTAGGGTCCTTTGGCTTTGGTTCTGGGTGCTTTCATTGGAAAGTGTTTGTAAAAGTTCCTTGGTTATAAATAGCCTTTGTAGAATGGCTTTCCCAAATGCTGGTTGAAATAGTGCTGTGTATGGTACGTGAGCAGGCTCATTTTCTCCTCTGGGGCTAGAGTGTGGAGTTCTCAGAAAGTATATATTGTTCCCCAGTGCTGTGCATTGTGTCAGTAGATTTTCTATTGTGTTATGCATTTCAACCTCCAGGACCACTGGTGGTACTCATAGGTAAGAGCTGGCTAGGGTTAATGCAGATGTGTATATACTTGATCCTTGTTTACTGGTAGAAGCTCTCTGTTACCTCAGACAATGGGTTGGTGGGTGGCATGCACATTTGTCTGAGCTCCCAGATTAGCCCTCAAATGGAAGACCAAGACTGGTGGGGTAGATGAGACAGGCCTGCCTACAGGTCTCCTAGTGTCAGGAACAAGCATCAGCTTTGAAAGCAGGTCTAGTGGACCATAGCCAGGCATCTGGAGGTGTGCTAACTCATGTTGTCAGGAAATCCTGGCTGCCCCAAGTTCTCTGCATGGGTGGGGTGGCCTGAACTTCTAATTTAGAACAGTGAGTGCTTCACGTGCCTGGAGATATTTCTGGCCATCAAGCAGAGAGGCCATGACTGCACCAATATCTCTTCACCTGAAGGGAAGGGTACTTCAGGAGCCTTATCCAGGGACGCAGGTGTACCAAATGCCTGGAAATATGCCTGAGGAGGTAGCAGAAAAACTGCTGCTGCCAAACGGTCTTTGCAGGGGATAAGAGGGGCAAGTCAAGCTCCTAATCCCGGAGAGTATGTGCCCCTCAAACTGTGTGTGAGATGACTAGGGAATGAGCACAGAAATCGCCACAACAAGGTCTTTGCATGGGAAGGTAGGGGCTGTTCAAACTCCTAATCATTGAGAATGGGTTTGCAGAATGCCTGCAGTTATGTCTGGGTGTGCAGCAGAGGAAGTGCTACTGCACTAAGGTCTTCGTGTGGGAAGAATTGGTGACTCAAGCTCCTATTCCAGTGAGTAGGTACACCCAAAGCTTGGTGTTATGTGTGGGTATGGAGCAAACAGTGTGCCTCTGCACCAAGGTCTCTGTATGGGAAGGGAGGGGAAGCTCAGGCTGCTAATCCATTTGTGAGGATGCCCCAAATGCTTGGAAAAATGACCAGGAGTGGAGTGGAGGGCACACCTACCAGCTTGCCAAGATCTTAGTAAGGAAAGGGTAACTTGGCTCAGGCTCCCAATACAGGTAAGCAGGAGTGTGGTTTGCCTCTCTCCTGTTTCTCAGAACTGGTGGGACACTCTGTCATGACTGAACAAGGGAGCAGGATGGGGCATTCAGCAGTGACACAGGCAGACCAGTTCCAGGTCACGAGGCTGTCCCAGACTGCAAGCTGTGATGCCCAAGAGAAACCTCGATTTCAGCAACTCTCCTCCCACTCCAGTCCAGTGATGGGAGAGAGCTCAATTCCAGCGCTTACTGTTGGGGTGCTCACCACACTCACCGCTCAATTCTGACTGTGGGTGCCCTTTCCCTGCTCCAGAGCAAGTGCTTCTGTCTCTGTCCTGAGACTAAAATGCCTGCAGTGACTGCTGCTGCCAGGTCACCAATGACTGACTTTCCAGGAGCGCAGATTAAAAATGGCAATGTCTTCTCAGTTCTGGGTCTGGGAAACACCTGCAGATTTTCCTGGTGTCTTTCCCTTTCATCACTTTCCAGCCTCCCTCCAAGTAAGTTCCAGCATTTGGGGCCTGGATCTCTAGTGGAAAGGAGATTCAGAGAGGGAGACTCTCTGGCCCTCTCACATACTGGGGGCTTCACCTGTTTTGATAAGCTGAACACCATCATGGGGCCTGCATTCCCACCTCCTTCACTTGGGATCTGAAGTGTGTTTCACTATTTCAGCGAATTCCCACATTTTTTCTTGAATTAAAGCTCACAGAATTGATCTTTACACACTATTTTGCTATTTCCAAGTGGCTGAGGCATGTTAAAGCTTCTAATCTACCATCTTGGCAAAAAAAAACCACACACTTTTTTTAAAAAAAGAAACAAAATGATAGTTTTATTTATTTGTCAATTTATATCAATAGAATCATCCCATAGTACTTATTTACTGTCAAGTACTTTCATTTAATGTGTTGTGACATTCAATCAAGTTGTTGCAGACAGCAATAGTTGTTATCTGTTTCTTAGTGTTTCACTTTATGAGCATTTTACAATTGTTTTATGGTACTGCTTCAAACATTTGCATTGCTTCCAGTGTGAGGCTATTTTGAATAGTGCTGTTATGTACATTCCGATACGTCTTTTTGCTATCACAAGGTATTGCTGCATTTCTGTTCAGTACATACCTACAACTGCAATTGCTAGATATGCATGCATTTACTTTAAGTAAATTCCACCAAAGGATTATCCAAATGGTTGAATTATTTTATTAATTTTTCTATGAGACTGTGATTGTTTCACTTTCTTGTCAACAGACAACATGATCTGTCCTTTTTTCATTTGAACCATTCTGATGAATTATATAATAATATCTAATTGAAGTTTTAATTTGTATTTCCATGAAGCTTAATGATGTTGAGCAATTCAAGTTTGCATTGTCAGCAGTGATTCTTCGTTTGTGAAAGCCTAGTTTATTTTGCATATATAAGCACACAGTTGACTTTATTTGTTTTTAAAACAATCACAGGTATATAGAAGAACTGCTTGTTCTTATAAATAATTGTTTTACATGAAACCTTTTGAAAGTAAATACTGACCTGATTCCAGATAGTTGAAGTATTTTCGTATGTATTTACTCAAAACAATGTGCTTCTCTTATATGACTATAGTAAAACCATCAGGATCAGAAAATCAATATTAATGCATTGGAACTTTCTAATTCTTGTTCCTGTTGGTGTTTTACCAAAAGTCCTAAAATATATGCTTTTTGTCCCTCTTATAATTTAGTTCAGAATCCAGAATCACATGCCACAACTCATTAGAATGATGTCATTTGATTACTAGGTTCAGATAGTGTGTGGCTGTCTTCTCCATTGTAACTATGTTCTTCTCAACTATGTAACTTAGATGTATTCTGTGGGTAGATTCTTTGAAATTTTGTAATTATTGTAGAACTGGAAAATAAATCCCAAAGGCCTGCTTCTTGGACTAAAGGGCCCAGCGAATTATACCCTGGTGTAAAAAACTTGTATTCCTGCTCTGTCTCCTTAGGATGTGATGGTATGGGTGGATGTTCTAACATGTCTCTTTAGACCCCCTCCCTTTTGTGGTTGACACAAAACAACTCATCAACATTAGTGTTAAAATAGAGACCATGAGACTGATGGGGTGGACTCTTTGTGGCAATAAGATGCCAACTTATAAATAGGACCTAAGGTCATGGCAGGCAAGAGTTAGGTCATTCACCCCCACACTTAAAGAATAAACTGTGTTCTAACTGGCTCAAGATTTTAATTTTTCTCTAGCAACTATACAAGCACTGGCCTCCACCAGATGCCCACCTTGACCCACTGTTCCACAAGCCATAGCTACAGCTTTCGTTGGACAAGAGACTGATTTCAGTAACCTTATTCCGATAAGAGGACCACTGAACCTGCTGTAGTGGTTCTGACTGTTTACAGAGGCTTTGTGCTTGAGTGCCCTCATGTCCCTGCTCAATTTTTTCGCCTATGGGGTTAAAGATGAGTGGGTCAGTGAAGAAATGGAGGTTAAGTGTCTAAATTCATGCCTCTGTTTTGGTATCATTGTGAACACTAAATAAAAATTTGAATATTTTTTCCCTTTATGTTTTCAACTTAGAGTCAAGTATGAATATATACTAATCATATTGCTAATCATATGTTCTGGGTTTTATTCTTCTCTCTCCAAACAAGAACAAAATCCTTGGAAAGTCTCAACAGATTACATTATTTTTCTAATTTCTATTTCTTGTTTTACACTTAACATAAATGCACCAGTAAATTGATTCTGTGGCCCTGAAGTAATTAGCCTCATTTTATCTGCAAATAATACACAACTGAACTGATTCTCTCAATATTTCCCTGAAGGTTGTTTCTTCCCTTAGACAGACTTTTTCTGTTATAAAGCCAAACCTTCAGTAACTCTAGATGGCAAACATCCAGAGACCTTCCTTACCCTCTTCTCCTTTGTCACTCTCTCTCTGCTTATTATTATGAGGACAAGCCTGACCTCCTGGCACTCCCTTTTCTTTTATTTCTTGCATTATGCACAAAAGCGGGAAAGTCTGAGAACTGAACCAGCAATTAATAACACTTTTTATTTAGCACATTCACAAAAGAAATGGATCTAAATTATCATTCATTAATCACTTTTCTGTGTTTTACAGTGATAACATATTAAAAAGTCAGCATCAGAAAAGTATTAGCATATGTGACAGTCAATACAAGTGTTACGAGTATGAATAATTACAGATATATTTGTGCAGTGACCTGAACAACTCTCCTTAATGGAGGTTGGATGCTCACGGGATATTGAGTGCATGGGAAGATGTGATGAGAGGTCAGAGAAGACATAACAGTGGGAATGTCGTTGATAAAAAAGAGTTTCAGGTGATAGCAGATCGGCAGCCAGATGGGCTAGCATCTTCAGACAGGAATGAAGCAGATCTGGTACGAGGGTGGCAGAGAAATAATCCCTCTGGTAGCTGAAGTAGTATTGAGGTTCTTTAAATCAGCAACAGATTTCAGGTTAAAGTTCTGTAAAATTGTGGTTAGAAATAAAAATAGCTCCATGCGGGCAAGTCCCTCTCCTGCACAAATTCGTTTTCCTGAAGATAACAAAGAGAGGAAGTAGTTACTCCTTGTGTTTAACTGTGACTGTGACAGTATGTTTGTGACTTGCACAAACAGAATACACAGTAAATAATTGATTAATGATTGGGTAGATGAATGAACATGTGGATGAATGGATGGATGAAATGATGAATGAATTAATGGATGGTAGGACAAACAAATGTACAAAAAGAGACACATTTGCTATCTGTCTAACATCTAATCTCAATAGGCACCCTTCTTTCAGCAAATATTCATTGATTATCAGTGCCATAACAGTCGCTTCATTATTTATTTCCACATTAAAACAACTCTGTTGCCATTTTGAGTTTCCATCTGTCATTATAGAAATACATGCACATTCTTGTTTCCTGTTCCAAGCCTGATATTCCATGATCTTTCCTTCCACTTTTCACATAATCTGTTCCCAACTCTAGTCATACACACTCTTCATCAATCTTGAACACACCAAGAAGTTTCAAGTTTCATATCCTGTTGTTCGTTTTGGCTAAGATACATCTTTATTAGGCTACATTCAGGACATAGGTTCAATTTCATTTCATCTTCACACTCTTTACAATTCCCTCAAGTAATAAAATCCTATGCTCTCTGGTTTTCCTCAACATCATACTCATGTTTTCATTAAAACATGGATCACCAGGAATCATAATTCTGTATTTATTTGTCTATCATGCTAAAATGTGAATTATTGAAGGAAAGTCTCTGTCTTTGTCATCTTGGTATCTACAGTGCCAAATATAAAGCAGACATAAAAGATCAAAGAGTGAAGGAAGGAGATTCCATGGCCAGAGACTTAGCACACAAAGCACAGGTGTGAAAATCAAGTATCCAGGATATATGATCATGATTGGAGGAAGACAGGGTGTTATGGAATCACTGCAAAGTAACCTCTTCCCTTGCCAATGTTTCTGGAACCCCATAATTTTTTGGCAAAGGTTCTGACATCCTTGATCTAAAGTAAATGTCCTGCTCTATCATTCATTATCTCCTTCAAAATGCCCAGCCTTCCCTTAAATTTTATCACCTTCTTTGAAGCACATCAAACATCCTCTGAGTTTCTTTCTCCATTTTATGCCTCACTGTGTTGTATGAGAGAGCAAGAAGCATGCAGATTCCCCCTCTAGCCCCTACCCAGGGGCCTGTGCATTCCTCTCTCACTGTCCTGGTCTGACTAAATTACAACGACCTGTTTACTCTTCTTCCCTAACTCAGGAGTGAGCCTCTCTTCTCACTGAAAGTTGTGCCCTTGGAGCTCAGCCTGGGAGGTGACAGACACCATGTAGAAGACACTCAATGCAGTTGTGGACTCAGATACATTCACCAAGGCAGGTAAGGACAGATCAGGTGAATTTTACTTTCCAGGAGGAGCTCTTGGGTACTTTAGTGATGTATCTAGTGGCAGAGTTCAGTCAACCTAGATGTTAGTTTTCTCAGTTGGGAACAATAGGGTTAACTCCTGGAAGCCCCACTATCTGGCCCAACAATGAGGGTATATTGTGAGGGTGGAGCGCATGGGTATTGAGAGTGGTGCTCTTGATCATGGACAAATAGCAATTCTACCAGCCCCAGATGGGGTGCCATGTAAATTCCAACTGATTCCAAAAAGTTCTCTCTTTCCTTCAAATGCAAATGGAAACAAGATTCTATTACCTGCTGAGAAAGGCATGAAGTAGTCACTTTTCTTAAAGTTGCCATTCTCATCCAGAAAGTGGCCAGGGTCAAAGATCTTTGGATTAGGGAATTCTTTGTCATCATGTAGCACAGAAGTGAGTAATGTCATTATGATTGTGCCCTGGAAGTAAAAAAACAGATAATCTGATTCATAAAGAAGTCCAGAAGTGAGAAGAAGTGGACATCACGTAGCCCCATATCATTGATCAACAGATGAGGGAACTAAGGTCCAGCCAGACATAGTAATTTACATGGATGAGCTAAAGGCCAGTGGTGGAAGCTTGCTAAAGAACTTTCCAATCACATTTGAAGTCTTACATCTTGGATACTTGTGTGCAACCCTCTGAATGTGTTCTCCAGATCATCAAGTTTGGATGCCCTTGTCTGTCCCCATCACTTCAAATTTCACACATCTTGTATTTAGATTATGTAGATTATGGTTTAAAATGGAAGTCTCTGTTGACACTTGAAATGTCCAAAGTATCTGTTCACAGAACTTTTGTAAATAAACATGTAATCTATTTTAATATGATGTCATCTGGAATGATAACCACAAGTGCAATAACCAGTAAAAACTATTGAGTGCTTATTATTGCCATGCTACAGATTAATTTTAGCTTAAAACACTGAAAAGATGATGAAATTAGAAAGATTATCACTTTGCTACAATTCAAGTCAGGATCATCAGGTCAGGTAAGGATCATCAATTAAAGCTAGAACCACTGGGTGTGTGATTCTGGAAGCAGGAGTTTCACAAAGTCTTAATGTACTCCCATAGACTTTTACTAGTTGCGTAGAAAAAGCAGAACCCCTACAACGGTAAGATCTGGAGGATACCACCATATTATGTGAGGAACTTAGCGTGACCAATAATGACATATGTGACATTTTATGCTCCCACCTCATCAATGTGATTCAGTGGGATATTCAGTGGGATTCAGCACCTATGTAGTTTTCTTGCCAAAATTCTAGCTGGAATCTGCCTCTAGAAAACAGTCACACAAAACTAGCCTGAAGAACATTTTAAATGACTGCTGATCTCAAAAGGTCAACTGATGGAAAAGAAACAAACAAGGAAAGGAACTTTCCTTGATTACAGGAGGTGAAAAGGTCAACATAAGTGAATTATATGCTTGTTCCTTGCCTGGATAGTAAACTGCAGAAGAAAAAAGGCATAAAAATATTCTAGAAAAATTGGAAAAATTTAAATTTAGGCTGTATTATTATTTGAACAACAGCTGCTGAGCGTGAATACTCTATTATGATGTATAAGAAAAATCTTTGTTTTGGGGCATACATACTGCAGTATTGACGTGTAGATAAACGCTTGTATTGAGAAAGAAAAACCTCTTCTGATTGTGTGCTTTGGTAAAAACAGTGTGGATTGAAGTCCTAATCCTTGTAAAAAATCAGTGATAATTAGGGAAAGCCCCATCGCATCTTGATAAGTTATCAATTCTGTCTTCTCTGGAGGATAACATTAGTAATTGAAACCTTATCAGTCTCATTGTTATCCTTCATGAAAATATAACTTTTATTATTTTTCATTGAATAATAGGTGGAATAGTGTAGTTTTTAGCATAGCAACTAAAACATCTGGATGAATACAGAAACCATATGATAGACAGCATTGTAAAGCTGCAAAGACCAAAATTGGCCTCCAGATTACAAAGACAATAACTGGCCCCAGTGACGGGAGAACTTCAGAGGGGTGAGCTCATACCTACAGTCAATATTTGACTGTGTTCATGTCATATTCAATTCTGAATCGGGACAGGAGGTGTTGTCATTATAACTGCCTATGAGAGGTGAATGAATCCATTCTGGAAAAAGATAAACGTTCTCCGAAATTCTGCATTTTTTCATATATAATATCGGGTACTGAGCCATAGGGTTTTAGGCATTTGAAAGACACAACTAAGCAGTCACAAGAAGAAAAGTGGAAAGAAGGGAAAGCAATGAAAACAGACCCACATTAGGGAACATTTCTCAACTAGTTTTATGCAGCCAGCATTATCTTGTTATCAAAACTCTGAAAAGAAAATGTTGAGGAAGAAAAATTGCAGACCAAAATATCTTATGAATATAAATACAGAAGTCCTGAACAATAAGAAACAGAGCAAATCCAGCTGTTTGTGTATACTTTGTATATTTAGTGAGGGATGTGAGGCCAGTATATACAATCATATAAATAGACGCAGAGAATCAATTTGATAAAATTGCACACACATTCATGACAAAAATTTATATAAAAATAAGAGAAGAGGAAAAACTTCCCTAATCTAATAAAGAATATCCACTAAAATCTTAAAGATTTCTCATAAAGAATATCTACTAAAATACTTAAAGCATCATTCTCAGTAGTGAAATATTAATATTCTTGTAGTCTACCCCCCAGCAGATCAGAAATGAAATAAGGATGCCCTCTATCACCAATTCTATTCAATGCTATCCTGGAAATCCTAGCCAGTGCAGTAATGCAATAAAGACAAATTGAAGACAAAAATCATTGGAAAATAAGAAATAAAATACATATTAACCCAGATAGCAAAATAATGTACATGGAATTTCCAAGTATATCTACAGATAAATTATTAGCAATGATCGGTAAATTTAGGAAAGTTGTTAGATATAAGGTCATCAAAATAGTATAATTGAACACAATTACATATACCAATTACAAAGAAATAAAAAAGCATTAAAATTTTATAACAACAAAATATTAATTATCTAGGAAAAACCTAATAAAAGAGTTGTAAGTCACTGCACTGAAAAGAAAACATTACTGAGAAAATAGAATAAAGCTCAATAAGTTGGGAGCATAACCATATTCATGAATTAAAATATTTAATGCATGAACATGTTAAGTCTTTCCATATTGAACTACACAATGAATGTCACTTTGATAAAAATCTCAGAAGAGTGTTTTGGGAAATTGACACACTGATATTTTCAACAATTATTTGAAAGTATAAACACCTAAGAGTAGCCTATTAAGGAGACCTAGCTTTATAAATCTTTATAGCCCCAAACAAAATAGCAGAAAGTCCATCAAGCTGCCACATGTATGAGTTTTGCACTTCTCTCATCTTCTGTTGTTAGAGGATTGGAGCTAAACTAGCACTTTGGAAATTTCAGAAGCATAGAAATATAGTGTGAGAGAATCAAGCTTACCTTAGGGATAAGGTAGTTTCTGAACTTAATATCAGTGGTCACTGCATGGGGCACACCAGTGGGGACAAGGTCAATATATCTCTGGATCTCGTGTATTACAGCATCTGTGTAAGGCATGTGGCTCCTATCCTGCATGCAGGGGCTCCTGTGTCTGCCAATTACATGAACAATCTCTTCCTGGACTTTAGCTGACAAGACACAAGAAAGAACTGATGGAAATGGAGATATATGGAACATTTGTCATAGCAATTCATGGTCACATTAAACATGATGTAAAAATCCCAGCAATATTACAAACATGAGTTACATGTGCAGAAGTACAACCAGCCATATAAAAAGGATTACTGTAATATAGACACATACCGTTCTCCTACAAACTAGTCATTACAGTGCACAAGTACATTTCTATAAATTAGCATATATGACAACTAATACAAATTTAA